TAGCAGGCTATTACTAGTGGGGTACCAGAAAGCTCAGTGCTCCACAACTGTTCATAATTTATATAAAATTATTTGGATGCAAGGACCAAATGCAGTATTTCCAAATTTGTTGATGACACCAAACTAGGGAGGAAATGTATATTGTAAGGAAGAAGCAAGGTGGCTTCAAGAGTACTTAGCAGGTGAAGCAAATGGGCTCAAACATAGCAGATGGAGTAAGTATGAAGTTATTCATTTTTGTATAAAAAGAAAAAAAGTCAGGCAGTATATTTCTAAAATGGTGAAAGGTTGGAAAATGCGGGTGTCCCAAAGACTCAGGTTTTCCAGTTCTCAAGTCAGTAACATTAGCATGTAGGTACAGCAAGCAGTTAGAAGGGTAGATCGTACATTAGTCTTCATCACAGAAGTGAGTACAAAAGTAAAGATGCCATGCTGCAGTTGGTTAGAATCTTGGTAAGGCCTCACTTGGAGTATTCTATTCAGGTTTGGTTCCTTTACATAAAGCAGGATATACTTGCCACTGAGGGAATGCAACAGAGATTTACCAGATTACTCCCTGGGATAACAAGATTGTACCATGCAGAAAGGGTGAAGAAACTAGGTCTGTACATCCTAGAGTTTCAAAGAATGACCTCATTGAGGCTTACTAAATTCTTGCAGGGTGTGACAGTGTGGATGTAGATACTGTTCCTGGAGACTAATAACATCAAGGGACATGGAGATTGCCACTTTCTTGCACTATGAGGTGATCAGCTATGACCTAACTGAATGCCAGTGAAGGCTCGATAGACCGAGGACTGAATGACCACTAGAATGTTGAGTGTGGTTAGTTATAATAGTTAGTTATACACAGCAGAGAAATAAAAGGAATACGAGTACGCCATTTATCCCCTTGACTCTTTTCTGTCATTCAACAAGATTATAGCTGATCTGCAACCTAACTCCATTATCCACTTGTTCCGCATCCTCAAATAGCTCAGGATTAAAAAAACTCATCTGTAAAGTAAGCTGACATAGCATTAATTTCCATTTGTGAAAGAGAGTTCTAAACTTCTATCAGGTGAGGAGAAGTGTTGTCTAACAATTCCTGAATAGTCCGGCCCTAATTTTTAGATTATATGACCTGGTCCTGTACTCCTCAACCAGCAGAAATAGTTTCTATCTATCCTACCCGCATCTGTTACAGTCTGATTAAATTGCCCTTTAATCTTCTAAATTCTAAGGTCAAAAACACTAGTTTCTTCAATTTCTGCTTGTAATATCTTCTTTAGTGTTTAAATATCATTTTAGTGGACATATTCTGTACTTCCTCCGATGTATCACTCTTAAGGTGTGGTGCCCAAAACTGCTTGAACTCTGCAGGTGTGCTCTCACCAGGTCCTTGCTAGCTGAAGCAAAGCTTCTACCTCCCTGTATAAAGGCCAGCATTCCAATCATCATTTTGGCTCTCTTTGAATCAATTCTGAGCATCGTAAATGATGGATAGTCAGACCTGCAACTGTTTTGGACTTCCAGGTATTTTATTTGAATTTTACTGTAAAATTAGAAATTCTAAGGATGCACATTTTTGAAAGGTGGAAAGAAAATCAAACTTGTGACTTCTCAGATAATAGTCACAAATTGCACATCACGACACCAGAGGTGTTTATTTTGACAGTGATTGAAGAAAAATATGACTTTGAAGACCAAGTACAATATACCTGTGACGTAATAAGTCGGAAAACTCTTAGGGTTTCTCCTTCACAGTTCTTCTGCTGAGCAACGCTTGCTGAAATCTGTCCACCAATTTTAATACTTTCATTTTCTTTCCATCCTAAAACCTTGACTTGTCGGACTCTTAGTGTGTTCTCGGGACCCTTGAGCTCTATTTTAACAATATGATTGCCTCCACCAGGAAGTTCACTGGTTACCCATCCCATATGCCTGGAATCCATGTCAGTCTAAGAGCAGGAGAAAGAAAAAATGGATTCATGTTTATCTTTCAAGGAAAATCTATTACATAGATTTAAGAGTAAAATAATTCTTTAAAAAAAAATCAAAGCAACTGTTATTAAAATGGCATATTCTATCAGACAGCATAAAGATTTAAGACTAGAAAAGAGAAAGTGTTATTTAGTCCATAAGGTTCTTTCTTCAGAACATGCATAGCTATATCAAAATGAAACCACTCTCCAACTCAATCTCTCAATTATCTTGCAAGGGAATCAAATTGATTTATGAACATTTCTGTAGCCTTAATTCCTGTTTTCATTATAGAGTTAGGCTTGTATCTTCCGATCTTTACAGTTATAAATATATATTATCCATAAGGCCAAATTATTGAAGATACTGAAAAATGGCAACGAAGCATAGGCAATTTTAATATTATTAGTGGAAAAGAAATTCGAAGAAAGTTTATATCGGCATGTTTCAAACAAGGGGAAGGGGAGAGAATAAAACATACTGTAATGAAAAAAGCTTTGCTTCCAAGAAGAACAATTTCTTCCAAATTCTTACTTGTTTAATTCTGCTTAGGTCTTCAGTTGCTTTTCCAGAAAAGAAAGTCATTGAAGATACCTTGTTCTATATGGAGGGGGAGAAAAAGGTATATTTCTACAGTAAAGACATCAATATCAACATTTCACTTGACTAGCACAAACGTGCACTATAAATCGTTAGTCCTAGTCACCCCACCACCATCACTTCTACCTCACTGTTTTAAGCTTCTCATCAGTAATCGGTGTTGAAGAATCTAAAGAGAATTGTAAAAGTGCTTTAAAATAAAAGTTTAGGTATTAAGTTTAAAATAATTAGCAAAAAGGTGGTTTGGATGGGAGGCATGTGTGGGAGTTGAAAATTTCCCGCAGTTTCACCCTTTGAGTTGCGATCTGGAATGTATCGTCAGAAACACTGGTGAAAGCAGATTCAATAGCTACTTACAAAAGGGATCTGGATCTGTACTTAAAGGAAAAAAAAATTGCAGGCTTTTGCAAAAATGAAGACGGAAGCAGGACTAATTGGTAGCTCCTTCAGAATTGGCACAGTTGTGACATGCAGAATGGCTCCTTTTTGCACTGTACCATTCTAATGTCGGAAAAATATTTTTTCAATGTAATCAATTTTTTTTAAAGCTACAAGTCAGGGTTATATGGTACTTAAACATGGCCTTTTCCATCAGCCCAAATAGACATAAAATACACAGGAGATGCTAATCCTGATAGATATCCGAGTGCTGGGTGTTCCATTTGCCCACAAGCTACAATCTGCCGTTTTAGTTCAGAGCAAAAATAAGCTTGCCTATAGAAATCCTTGTGGTGTGGCAGTTTAAGATATTGAGAAGATAGAATTGTCAATAAGAGAGATAAACATTGGGAATTCTTACCCCCAAATCTCGAGAGTTGTCTACATGAACAGACACATAGCGAGCACAAATTCCTTTAACACAGTTTATAGTTATGCTCTTGGTTTTATTCTTGTCTTCATCTCCTGACTCCCAGAAAGTTTCTGTTGATCCATCTGTCAGACTACCAATCATAGCTGGTCTGCTGGAGGTCTTAATATCAACAATCCCAGTGAGGTCTTTCAAGGATGTTACTGTACATGACTCCTGCTATGAAAGGCAACAATATTAATTTTTGTCCTTTATAGACCATAGTATGCTGGATAAATAACGTCCTATTGTCAAGAACAACAAACCAGATTCAAGTTTTGCATCTGAAATGTACTCATTTTTGACAAGATCCATTAGTGGAGGAGGATAGGGGAGAAAAGAATAAAAGAACCAAAATACAAAATAGGCTGACAATACAAACGTGCTCAATTACCTAATTTAAATATTGCCTTCCTTATACATCAATAGGCATTCAATCTCCCCAAGGAAAATTACAGCTCAATCAGATGGCAACAAAAAAAAAAAAAAAACTGCACAACGTTCCTTTAGGAATGCGAAAGGGTGGTTGTTGCAGTCTTTAATCTTCCTGCTTCCTTTGTATGAAACTCATTTTTGAGCCTCTCAGATTTTTTAAATGAATTAACTGATGTAGGTAACTATATCAAGTAACTACATCAAGTACATGACGAGCCAATATAGGTAGTATTTCAAGACTCAAGTTGTATTTTCAAGGATGAATGCATCAAATTAATTACATCCACATACAGAAACTCAGTTCTTCTGTTTTCTCCACTGATTCAACACATTTATCCAGGGTGCAGCCGAACTGCAGTGAATCAAACCTAGCAACTGTCTGTCCTGTGATGGTTGATCTCAGCTGCGGTCATGACTGAAGTACCACAACTTACCTCAATTCTGAGGAGTTTTTGGAAGGGAAAATAATCCGAATGTTATCCAGTTTTAACGTATAGTTTAACAAGAGAAACACTTGGCTCAGCAATACTGTGGTATTGACATTCAGGTGTTAACAGTAACATCGCACTGAACAATTCCTGGTACCAGGCAGAGAAGGGGAAATTCCTTTACTAGATGACAACCCCAGAAGCCTTATTGCCTCTCAGTGCTATTATGCAGAACAGTCCTGTGCAAACATGCAAATGATCTTTACCTGATTCAAGGCTTCATAACCAGACTGCACACTGATGTTAAAGCTTTCTTCACTGTCTCCATCATCAGATTTAGAAAGAATATTATTGATGTGGTGGAAAACATTGCTCTGATGAAGGAACTGATGATCAGATTGCTTGAATTTCAGACTCCAGCACCTACATACAGAGACAAAAATTAGTGAAGAGATGTTTATGATTTGAAGACTGACTCTATCCTGGGGCTTAAGGAAAGGTGAAGGAAGATGAAGGAGGAGAAAAAAAAGTAACTTTTAGACAGTAAAGAATTTTACTTGATTAGCTAGATTCTACCACCTGCCCATAAATAACAGCATATTTATCACTTGAGTGTACATATTACAATTTCTTACAACTGTATAATAAATTGTGTGACATCTTATTACCCAACAAGTTCATGCAGTCTAGGGCACTAAACTAAGCAAAATCGGAGAAACATCACAAAAATGAGGCCATTCAGTCCACTGTAGCTGTACTGACTCTTTTAAAGAGCTGCTCCAAGAAATGTAAGCTTGAGCATTGCTGAAAGAAGATTTAAGACAAAAGGCTTTTACAGAATGCAAGGTGAAAAGATTCGACAGATTGTGTCCTTTTTCAGCAATACTTAAACTCTGTAGAATCAAGCAACTAAATATAGATTTTAAAAAGTTTGATATGCATAAGAGGCCATTCAGCAACTATGAACAGACAAGTTAAAAGCCTCAAAAACATGTCTATTTCCAAAGCACAGGCAATTTTGAAATGGGTCTATATCAAGCTGCTAACCTGCTGTTCACATCATAGAGCTGCCTAACCACCTATGTTTTTCCAAATTTACAGTTTATATTCCAGGCTTCATGAATCCAGAATATACGATATAGAAGTGCAACAAAGTTAAAATTAAAATATAATTTTGACCATTTAAATCTGCTTCATTAGATTTGTAGAAAGTTTCTAACACTTCCCATTTTAATTGCCAAATTGAGACCTCATTCAAACATGTGCACTTCCTAGCAATTGTTCATTGGACAGTAAACAGGAATGGGATATTGGCTCATTTTCTTTTTCAAAGACTAGATAGCTGAGATCAATTATGGGCAGTTCCATTAATATACAAACTGATGCTTAGTAATTCAAAGATCTTGGTCTACAAAACTTTTCATCATGTCACCTATTGTGTTGTAAGTATAATGAATGAAATTCATCCTGAAAATATCTGCCGATCTGGCAATTACAGGATTTAATCAGAATCGTTCTTTGAAGGGTGTTAATCTTACTGAGACACTGGGTGGGCAACTATTTCTCAAGGTCTATATTAGTTATCAAATCTTATGTAAATTATTAACAATTTTCTGATGTAGTTTAGGAAGGCCAAATAAGCTTCATGTTGCACATACACTTAAATGACAAAATTAAAAATTCACAACATGGAATCAATTTTAATTTTGATATCAGGTAGTTGAATTAAGTATTACATCCCTGTAAGACAAATTTTATAAAGCAATGACATTCCTTTTACATTTTTGCAGTTTATAGAATTTATTCCATTTATTTGTCAAAAGAAAACCTACCGTAAAGCCATTTGTTGCAGTGAGCTGCCACTGGGTAGGGACATCATCAAGTCTGAAATAGTTTGCAACAGCCGATGAAACGTTTCAGGTAAAGGATGAGCTGCTTCTCCAGCGATTACAATGTCAGACAGCGGGTGTTCACACACACCAGTATCTCTTTCCTGTTTTACATTTTGAAAATACAGCACTTAGAGACCTTTATTGAAAAGTTTTGAATTTAACAACTTTGTCTATTATATGTTTATGTTCTTGGAAGGTTAGGAACTGGATGAAGTGCTCAATGAAGGCGAAGCTGCTGCAGCATTAGCAGAGCCACGTACAAGACGTGGAGAGAAATCAGAGTTAACGTTTTGGGTTGGGTGACTCTTCCTCAGAGCTCCCTCTGTTCTTAGGAAGGATGATTTGACTGAAAATGTTAACTGATTTCTCCCCACAGATACTGCCACGCCTGCTGAGCTTTACCAGCAATTGCTCTTTTTGTTTCTGATTTGCAGCATCCGCAGTCTTTTTTGGTTTCATGTGCAAGATGTGGTTGAAGGTCATGTTGTTATCTGGGCAGCTGGTGTCAGAACATGACAGAAGACATTGAAATTGTAGCAGTGGAGTGAGGTTTGGTGTCAGTTGCAACTGGTGATATCATAATGGTAGTACACACAAAAAAGGGGGCAGTGGGTGCTTACATTTAAAAATTCAAGATAATAATATCTCCGTTAATTTTGAAAATGTACAAAATTAATGTGAAGGATACACTAACTAAAATAAAACTGATACACAAACCCCACAATTATAAGTCTAATTGAAACTCTTTAGTATTTGAGCAATGAATGATACCTGCTTTACACAGGCAAGCTCTTTGAGCCAGTAGACACGCCGATAAGAAGTTTTTTGCAGGGGGCTGGGGGGTTAGGGGGAGGTGGCATCACTTGGATTCCGGTGACTTTTTGCAGGCAGCACAAGTTGACAAACACCTATTTTCTTCTGAGGTATTCTCCTGGCAGCCTGCAACTCCATGTTCATTTCTGCTCTGTCCTGCCCAAATTCTGCTTTATTTCAAATGAACCAACATCAGAAAGCTGAAGCTAATTTATCTAATTTCTTAATTTAGGTAACTGGACATAAGAACAGAAAAACAGGAGTAGGCCATTTAGCTCCTTGAGCCTGTTCTGTCATTCAATGAGATCAAGGCTGATCTGTGGCCTAATTCCATAGACCTGCCTTTGGCCAATATCCCTTAACATATGTATCTACCTCAGGTTTAAAACTAACATCTGGCATGAACTGCCGATTGTGGAAGACAATTCCACACGTCTACACCACTTTGGACGTAGTTTTGATTTAGTAATGCAGCTAATCCAAACACCATTTCCTTTACAATGAGAAAATTATTCTAAGGAACCACAATATTTAACCAACCTGTTCTATATTCTCTTTGTTCATCTTGTTATCATCAGCTTCTTCATCCTCAGATTCCAAAGGAGCAGGAGTCAGGGATGCCACAAAATGCCACAGAATATCATGGAGTGCAGTTGTCTGAATTACACTGCACAATAGCCAGTTAAAAGCCTGTTTAAAGTGAAAAACAGCCACAAAACATTAGGCTTCACTTATAAGACAAAACTTCAAAATGCTACAAAATAGAATTAGTACGTTGCCTGAATCACAAATGTAGGAAATTCCTGAATTCTTAGCCATTGATTGCATAAACAGGCAGCTATTTCAGCTCCATAAAAATATACATATTGATCACTGCACTGACCTCCATAGCATATACTCTGCAAGCAGATTTCCTTAGAGCGTGCCTCATTGCCATTTCCAATCCTTCCAGATCATGGTGCTGTATTACAAATGCTAGAACAGGCCACTGGAAATTTCGTTCTCCTTTGGGCAGTGAACTGTGAGCTGAGATTAGACGAGATAGTTCAGGGGAAGGATGCCGAAGAAGAGATGATCCCACTTCTGTTTGAAGAAGAAGATTTGATAGCATTTGGATGTAAATAAATCACATTAAAATTTAAAGGCTCTATTATTCTAAAATGTTACATACTGAATTGCATGTATAATCCCTGATTGGAAAAGGCTTCCTCCATTCATTCCAACTAAGAGTTTGAGATTCACCATCTCCTGTCAGCTGGAGTTGCTAACAGGTCCATTTTCAAGCATAAAAAAGACAAGTTCTGCGTAGATAGGCAATTTAAGCAGTACTTTTGGGGCAATTCATCAAACTTGGAAGTTCCAGATGGCAGCTTACAGTGAAGTACACAAACCTAGCACAAAGCAATGTTTCCAAACTCATCTGAATTGTCTTTGGAGAAATTATTTGACATGAAAATATAAAATTACAGAGGCATGATTCAAAAGCAAAAAAATGCAAAGCTCCAAGGAATTCACTCACTGGCCAACCTTTTGTTTATTTGGGAAAAATGTGGGTGTAAACAGAGTAAAAGGAAAGGCAAGGTAAAGAAGAAATAGCATTTATGTAACATCAAGCCTAGATTTTTAAAACCCAAAGACTGCAGATGGAAGGAAAAACATGGGAAGCAATGTGATGCTTTTATTTGTTCATAGGATGTAGTTGACAACTAGGCCAGCATTTATTGAATACCTTCATTGCTCCTGACAAGGTGACGGCAAGCAACCCTCTTAAGTTATTGCCGTCCTTGGGGAATACCTGGATTTTGACAAAGCAACAGTGACAAAATGGTAACATAGTTCCAAGCAGGACGCTGTTATACTCGGGGTGACAAGGGAGCTTGCATTTGATGATGTTCTCATGCATCTGTTGCTTTTGCCCTTCTAGGTGGTAGAGGTCACAGGTTTGTAAGGTGCTGTTGTTGCAGCCTTGCTGATTTACTGCAGTACATCTTGTAGATGACACACACTGATCTCACTATGCATCAGTAATGAAGAGAGTGAATGCTGAAGGTGATTGAGTGTCAATCAAGCAGACTACTTTTTCCTGATGGTGCTGAGCTTAGAGTCTTCTTGGAGCATTACCCACCCAGGTATGGGGGATAGTATTCCATCACACAACTGATTTATGCCTGGTCTGTGGTGAAGAAACTGGGGAGACAGGAGAAGAGTTCCTGGCTACAGAACTCCCAGCCCCTGACCTGCTCTTGTAGCCATAGAATTTACATGCTGGTTGAGTTCAGTTTCTGTTCGATGATAAACCCCAGGATGATATAGTGGGAAGGTGGTGGTATTAAGCAGCATTATTTTTGCTGAATTTCCCACTATCAACACATTGGACTGAATTCCCCGCGTAGATGGCGACAAAGTCAGGAGAGGGGAAGCCCGCCAAGGGGAACATCAGATGATCTGCAGCCACTTAATATTTGAGTGGCTGTTAATAAGTTGGAGGTGGAACTGGAACCTCTGGACCTAGAAGTCCCACTTGAGAGCTGCAGTCCAATCAGAGGCCAGCAGCTCTCTAATATTTTAATAATCTCTAACACAATACAGAGCCTTGCAATGTTTACTAGATTTGGATTAGCGTTTGGTGGTCTGGCAAAGCTGGCAGGTCCAAGTGAAGAGGCCCCTTGATGTGCTGATGGTTTGTTAGGAAGGGACCTTCCCTCCAATGTCCTTCACTTACTTGCAAAAGAAAACATGCTGGAACGTATACTTGGCGTGGTTAAATCTTGATGATTGTGGGCTAAAGCCCTTATGTGTATTAATTACCTATTTAATTAGGTAATTAGCTAATTACCTATTTAATTAGGGCCTCAATTATCCTGTTGGCACTCTACAATGTTACCCCCACAGTTGGCATGATTGTGGAAGGGGCTAGGTGGCTGTTTGGTGGATAGACTGCTTGCAGGATTAAATGAGCCTTCCAGCTTTAAAACCATTGGTGGGGAAGTTTTAAATCCAGTCCATTAAGATTGTTTCAGGAGAAATAGGATGGGAGAATAATGTCTTTGCAGCTTACAATAGCGGGAGGAAAGAGGAAGAAAATAACATCTGTTACATCAATAAAACAAGAAATGGAAATGACTGGAAAGACAGGGAATCTCAAAGATGCAGTTGAAAGAGGGAACTCATCAGATGACACTTTTGAAGTTGTTTAGATATGCCGTAGATACCTCCAGTGGTTATGTGAAGTCAGCTCTCCAACATTTTGATATCCTGACGATGATGGAAGTTCACTTGCACTGCTCTATATGTAGTTGTAGAATAGTATAAGTTAGAGCTATGTAACAGGAGCCATCCACTGTAATATGGAACGAATGCATATTTCCATTGCACATTTGTCTTTATTTTTTTAAAAATAAAATTAAGCCAACATGTAGAGGAGAAATGTGATGTAAATTGTTGCTTATTCCCCATTAGCTGCACATGCAGAATTGTGGAAACATTATAACTTATAACAGCTTTCTGATAGAGCTCTCTTACTTAGTCATACATTACATAGCCCTGCAAATTAATCTTCAATATGCACAACCATTGTTTTGTTTGGAATTTACTACTAAATGTGCTACAATAGGTTTCACATACTGTCACCAACAATAATCAGAATTTTGAGTGATATGGAAATAGCAAACACCATGCTTCTCCATTTCAGAGGATCAGCTTGCTTGACTTTTGTTCAACACCTCACCTGCATTCCACTGTTTGGAGACCTTTGCTGCTACTTCCCCCATTGCAGCATTCTCTTCTGTTTTGATATTGACTCCAATGTCAGCAAAGGGGAATCCAGTAGCTTAACTTTGCAAGGATTCTTGATAGAGCTGACAGTAGGACAATGTGGGGTAATTGCCATTCATGATGGCAATTATCCTTCACATTTCTTTCTCTTCCTACAGAGATGTTGCATTTTAGTAAAACCTTGCTATGATTGCAATCATCAAAATCAAAAGTAATTTTGATTTTCACAAGCATGCCATAAAGTTTGAATAATACGCCTGAGTTAATAACATTAAGAGTTGAATGAGTCAATAGGGTGCCCCCAACAAGTTATTCAATATGAATAACAGTGAATCAATGTAGAGCTGAGATATAACTTATATAACCTTCAATGTAATAAAATTTTACAAGGCATTTGAAATAGTCACTATAAATACAATGTTGAGCCATATAAAAACAGATATTAGATTTAAAGATCAAAAACTTGGTCGGATCGGTAGGTCTCAATAAGTGCCTTAAAAGAAGACAGACAGGTACGAGGACATGATAGAATTGGAATTGCGGTTGGAATTTCAGAGCTGGATTCTCACATAAGGGGAAACATCGTCTCCACATCCACCATGTTAAGATCCTTCAAAATCCTACATATTTGAATCAAGTCACCGCTTGGTTTTCTAAACTGCAGGAGATACAAGCCCAACTTGTCCAACCTTCCCTCAGAAGATGATCCATCCATTCCACGTATTGATTTGTTAAACCTTTTTTGAACCGCTTCCAATGCATGTATAATCCTTACTTTTTTTAAAAAAAAAGCACCAACTTGCAGCACATCAGATGTGGAGCATCAGTACCCTGGTAAAACTAAAGCATAACTTTCCTACTTTTGTTTTCAATTACCCTGATAATAAATGACAACATGTCCATTAGCTTTCCTAATATCTTGCTTTATCTGCAAACTAACCTACGACAATTCAGGATTACTGTAGTTATTTTCACATTTCTCCATCTGAAGGAGGCTGGTTAAGCCACTGGCAAAGAATTCACTAATGATCTCATCTTTAAGATCAATAAAGTAGTTTTCCATGGTATTCCAACTAAAGAGATTGTATACACTGGCACAGAATTTATTCCAATAGGTCAATGATTGGCACCCATTATTCATTCAATTTGCCCATTTAACCTGTGCTACTTTGCTCTGCAAGTTGATGGAAAGGTGGGACGGAAAACAGAGTGAAAATTGAGTTAAGAAGCTGTTTATCAGTAAGATTTAAGGACTGTGAAATTAACAAAATAAAGACCAAGATGGAAGTATAGTTAATTTAATACATTCAATGTCAAATCAGATACATTAACAGAAAGAGGGGAAAAAAGGAAGATTGCAAATTAAAATAACAGAATGTGAGCTCACACCTGCAGCAGTCAATTCTCATTTGCAGAGTGACTGATTGGCTGAAATTAACACATTAAACAGTTTAAAGGATACTTAGACTGAAGTAGACACATCTTAACATTCTGTGGTGAGTTTATATCATATCAAGTAAATACTTTAACTTCACATGCAAGGAGACAGTAGTCGGGGTGTCAGCAAACTTCTGTTTTTACGAAGTTAACTGCACAGTGGTACATTTTTGAAAACAAGTTGTCAATTTCCCAGCACCTGCACTTACCTAAAGTTGCTGTGGCTTTGCACACTAAGAAAGGGAAGTGGTATTGTTATTTTAACAGCAAAATTTGGGTCATTACAATTTTCAGATTCTGGATGCTAGCTAGTCTTGAAGTAGTTAATGGTTGTTAATACTATTGCCTGATCTGACTTTGTGTTTTGAGATGTGAAGAAACCAAAATGAAGATAAAGTATTGAAGAAAAAAAATGTCATTGTAACCAGAAAAACTTCTCACCTGCATCACCACTGTTTACCCTTCGTCTGGGAATAGCCTTCACACGGGCTGGTGAAGTAGAATGCTGTTTGTCATATTCTGATGCAACAACGGAGTATGATCTTTGGAAGACACTACGTTTTGCTGTATCATTTTCCATTATTGGACTTGTTTCAAGACTATAAAAACAAGCACAATGCACCATTACACAAAGTAGTTAAGGAAGGAGCTTTTAGTTTCATCTTTTAATACTACATTCTATCAATGATCAGTTGTGCTATGCAAGTACCTGGGAGGCATTGATTTCAGGTTGGTTTCAGGCTCATCAAATACATGAGGGCAGGCATCTGGTGTGACAGATATGTATGGTGCTGGAACAGAAGTGGAACGAAGGTATCTCATTTCATCTTGAAACAGGTGATCATCATGGTAGCCAGTAAAGTTCTCTGAATGCTGTCTGTCAGGCAGAATTTCACAATTTTGAATCACACTTAAACTGCAGCAGTGAAAGATTTTCACAAGGTATTAACTTTTCAAAAATCTATATTTGTAACATGTAGATAAAGAAGCTGAAATAGCATGAATAGACTTAAAAAAAAATTAAAAATCAAGGAATTATTCATCATGTAAACATTTAACAATGCTTCATAGATCTGTATTTATTTTTTCAGGACCAGTTCTTTTGTTCAATAGTTATTGCACAGATCAATGTTTAAAAAAAAAATTACACCTCAATGAAAGAATGTATTTTCATGAGGTTCTAACAGAGATGAGAGTGTGGAAAAGGAGAATTTCTTGCAAAATGAACCGACCTTCCCCAATTCCTAGCTTTTGGGGATGGGCAGGATCTACAGTACATCACAATCTCTGGATTACCACCATAATGTGCTTACCTAAATCCTGAAGTGCAGTCAGATTTGGAGGAATCATGATGACAGCTGCTGCTAATTCCTCATCAAAAACCTTAGTAAATTTGGATCACTGGTTAAGGAGATAGGCTGTTTCCCCTCATTGTTTATTAAGGTCCGATACACCATATTACCCTCGTATTACGAATCTACTCTTCCAGTAAGTTATGCTACAAGTTCTTTGAGTTAACGGGTGCAGAAAAAGTCTACTTAACAAAGTACGCTGTTAGATTCCTGCTCCTATCCATTATTTAAGGATGGCCGCAACACTTTACCATTGCAATGTAGAATGACTTATTACACTAGTATATTTTCATTCATATGAAGAAAGATCATCACCCTGAAGCATTAACTCTGTTACATTCTGGATACTGCCTAACCTGTTTGATTTGTCCAGCAACTTTTGTTTTGATTTTAGGTTTTCAATCCTATTGGAAAAACATTGATTTGATTTATTATTGTCACGTGTACCGAGGTACGGTGAAAAGTATTGTCTTGTGTGCTTTACAGGCAGATTGCACCATACAAGCGCATCAAGGTAACAGAACGGAGTGCAGGATACAATGTTACAGCTGCTGAGAAGTGCAGAGAGTGATCAATATCAACATTAAAGAGGTCCATTCAAAGTCTGATAACAGTGGAGAACAGGTTGTTCTTGAATCCGTTCGTATGTGTATACATTTTTTTTTTACAAGTTGCTTAAAATGCTTAAGGTAAATATGTTTTCAGTACTTTAGGAGTCTATGTACAAGGGAAAGGTTTGTATAACAAGTTGTATACTAAAAAGGCATTCATACAAAATTTATACATATATTTAAGTGTTCTATTTTTAAAGAGCAGTTTTGTAAGTGTGAAGGGGTCTCATGCACATCCAAAAGTGGTATTGGGAGGGAGATAGATTATTGAGTCTTTTTGGAGACTTCCCAAGAAAAATAGCAGGGTACCAATGATTATTGTAATCATCACGATGAATAGTGAAGTTGTGAGTGGGGTTGGCTTCGAACAACAGATTATCTGTCGCCAGACAGGGATGGTTATATCAGAAAGTCACTGCATGCAAGGTAAAATGCATTACCTTTTTGGGAATAGAAAACATAGTATGGGACTTGACTAAGTAGGGAAGGAGAAAAAGACAGATAACATTTGTTGCTCTACCTTTTATAAATATGACCAAGTTATTTGGAAAATCCAACTGGATGAGGAGTCGGAGTCAAAGATTGAGAAGAGGAAATCGAATGTTGTATGATGCATCCAATGCAATATATAAAAGGGCGATTCTTCCTCCTCTTTCCACCTTCAATAAAATTCTACTTCCTCCTTACCAGGTCAAGTATTTTAGGTTGCGTTTTGATGACCCAATAGCGGACGATGCTCAATGCCAAGACACCAACATGCCAACTAGGTGACATGACTGAGGTGTGGGGCTACACTTGTTTGCAGTATACTGCAACAGCGGGTAGGTCAAAGGCATAAAAATAATTTAAAGATAAAGAGCAGCAAAAAGACTTAAGCAGTATAGATGGACATTCTCTCACTTCACAGCTTCTAAATGCAAGGATATATAAGAGCCAGTCTGCATCAGGATAGTCCCCAAAACCATAATGATGAACTAAAATGGTTAATTATTTATTTCTGGTGAGGATGGTTGAGGAACAAATATTTTTCCATAGGGAAATGGCTTCTTTAATACACAGCTCATGAGATATATATTATCTCAATTTAATACAATCCCAGGCGACAGTTTTCCTTCAGTATTGCCCTGCAGTGTGAAAATGAAGTGCATACCTTACACCTTGAACACGAAATTGACTTAGGGACACAAATGTTACCAACTAACCTGAACTGTTATGGTAAAGATATAGTCAGTTTCTACCAGAAATCTAACTGTTAAATTTGTTTTTGAACAGTGGTATAGTAACAAATGACCAACAATGCAATATTAGCCCACTTTTACTGAACAGAAATCATTGGCACTGTTGACCAAATCTGTTACACCATACCTTGCAAGTGTCTGTAGATAAAGGCATGGATATTTGCTGGGCATATCATCAGAGATGCCCTCTTTCAAACTCGGAAGATGCGAATAAAAAGGTCTCGGGGTATGGTAACAAAGAATATTTGGTTCTGCTGCACTACTCAGCGACAGCAAGAACACGGCGTTTGCTTTAATCACTTGATGAGCTTCCATTGAGGGCAAGGCTCGTGGTGTCTTCACTTGTACTGGCTTTTTTCTGGCTTGTTTAACCTGAAAAAGAGAAGTACTAACATTAATAGAACGCCATTTGTCTAATGTAAGAAAAAGAGGAAATGAAGTATTTTTCACAGAAATTCAAAGGGATAAAAAAAAAAATCTAAATTTGGTGTCAATTATAACGTTTTATAAATAAATTTACTAATGCAGAAATCTGAGTATTCCATTTATTTTAGTTTCAAAGATAAAAAAAGTGATAATAGAATAATTCACATTTTACTTCTAAAAGCAAACTTTTCCAAATAACTCAGGTTTTGCAAGTTGCTTACTTTAAATCAAAAGACGGTTCATCCAAGAACACAAATCAGTACTTGCTGGTATTAGAAGGCAGAACACCAGCTTTTCTTCAAACTACTTCTAATGACTTGCATCTTTTAGATTAGTTTCATTATAATACCACAAACTGGCATTTAACAAGGTGGGCTTGGAAAGAAAATCACGAGTGTATCAAAAATACAACTGAACTGTTCACTTTTACATGTGGTACTTCAAATGTTCATGAATTTATACAGTGCATAGGGTGTCAGTATAAATTGCGAAAATGTATAATAGGTTCAGACAGCAAGCACGCATTTCAATTTGGCAGGATTGTAGAAAACACACTAAGTTATTTCCCTCTTTCTCCAGTAAGAAATTACTGTATGTTGACAAAGCAGTATTCTCAAACAAGATACAAATCAGTTATAGCCAAATTCAAATTACTTAAAGTTAAAAGAATGAATTCTGTTTATGATGAGAGTTGGAAGACTCTTCCTAAAAGATTAAAATGACCATATAGCATATAAACGATCTAAGTGTTTTTGGTCTTAACACTACTGACGAGAACATTTGAGTGACATCAGTTGCACTGGTCCTCAATAGCTAAATGGAATACAGTCAAACTGTGAATGTCCCATTAACATTGGATTGCATGGTGGTAATCAGGTGCTCTGTTTTGTTAACTACTTTGTTTAACTAGATGGGAATATCAAACAAGGAAACAGAGCTAGTGTTTTACGAAGGATTTCCTACTGTTCCAATTTTGAAGTTTAGATTTCCAAAACTCCTAGTATTTTGCTTTTGGATTTATTGGTGGAATAGGACTGGTTTAGGAGCATAATAAACCTTTACCTTTGGGAGCTAGATGCAGCCCTGACTGACAGAATTAAACTTCCTTTACGCAGTTGGCTGCAAAGATCTCACATAAAATTTCACAAGATCAAGCCAGTTCTTCACCTGGCATAAATTGACATGAATTTATCAAGTTCACTCAAAAAAGCAAGAAGAATGGTCAATACATGGAAAAATGCAAGCTGTTTGTTGTGAGGCGTATTCATTAGGTTTGGTTTAAGGAGTTTGTTAAGCCAATTAAGAATATTGAATGCCAAAGCATTGACAGATCCCTATATGATATCAAAGTGAATGCCTTATATGGGTATAAGTAATACAGGTTTAAAGATTCATAAAAATTTGATAATGGACTATTTGATTTGATAAGTAACCTGTTCAGTACAATATTTCCTATATTTATTATGACTAACGTGGGATGTATTTTGTGCATATTTGTACATTTGCTCAGAAACAGGATGCTACTGAAAGAAGAATGCTTTAAAATGTTAGGGTGACAGTAGTCCTCACATCCAGAACAGCATTCCTCACCAAAAAAAAAATTTGAACAATTTCTACCAACAAATTGTAACTAAATCTACTTCAGACTCAAGCTATTAAATCTGAAGTAATACAATGGGGAACAAGTCTGCAGTGTACTGCTCAAATCACTTTTATAGGCATAGAAGTTCATTTTAATGCATGTCTAAAGGAAAACGTACCTTTTCACGCGCTGCAGCTTGTTTCTCCCGGAGGTATTTTTCTCTGCAACGATCACATACAAGGTACCAAGTGCTTCCTCCAACACCTCCATCACCACAGTTCCCTGCCCATCCACCACAGAAGTGACCAATGCTATTATAACCCTGTCCTCCAGCATAGCGACCACAACCTTTCGCAAACAAAAGAGAGAACAAATTCTTATTACAGCTCAGAGATCTAACGACATTGATTAACTTCATATTCTTTGGATATCAAATTTACTAGCAACTGAACGATCCATGTAGAATTAGGGACAATGACAAGGCAGATCATAACAGACATCAGCAGGATATAGATTGTGAAATGGACAAGACGTTAAGCAAACGAAATTTAAATCAGAAGTGTAAAGGGATATATTTTGGTTGGGAGAAGCAGCAATATGAACTAAACTGTACAATTTTAAAGGAGTGCTGGAACAAAGCATCCTGGGGTGATGTACACAGAAATCTTTGAAAGAGGCAGGACAAGTCGAGAGGGCTGCTAAAAGCAACATATGGGGCATATAAAGTATGGAGTACATCAGCAGTGAAGTTAATTCTAGAAGAAAATCAAGTGCAGAACTGAAGGAATACTACACTGTAGGAGGGCTCCACCTGCCTGCTCAGGTGAATGAAAAAAAAAATTCCTTGGTCCAATTTTGAGGAACAGGGTCCCTGGAACTGGAGCTGAAGTTCTTGGCAATGACCCAGCCACTATCCAATTACTTTTGCAGGAACCTTCTATGTACCAAATGTCTGCCGTGAAATTCTTTGTTACAATGGTGACCACAAATCAAGAGTATTTGTTTTGAAAACGTTGAAATATTCAGTGGTTATGATAACATTACATAAATCCAAAATCTTTCTTTTTAATATACTGGTTAAGCCTCATTTGTAACATTAGGTTTAGTGCTGATCTCTACATATTAGATAGATATTCAAGCCTCAAAAAAAGTGGAGAGGAGATTGTTTAAAATGATTCTAAGATGAGAGACTTCAATCTCAGTGGGATGCATGGCATTACGGGTAAAGTATTAGCATGGATAGAGGATTGGTTGACTAACAGGAAGCAAAGAGTGAGGATAAATGAGTGCTATTCTAGCTGGCAGTCAGTGACTAGTGGTGTGCCTCAGGGATCGGTGTTGGGACCGCAATTATTTACAATTTACATAGATGATTTGGAGTTGGGGACCACGTGTAGGGTGTCAAAGTTTGCAGATGACACTAAGATGAATGGCACAGCAAAGTGTGCAGAGGACTGTGAAACTTTGCAGAGGAACATAGATACATTGAGTGAGTGGGCAAAGGTCTGGCAGATGGAATACAATGTAAATAAATGTGAAGTCATACATTTTGGTAGGAGTAATAGTAAGAAGGATTATTACTTGAATGGTAAAAAGTTGCAGCATGCTGCTATGCAGAGGGACTGGGTGTCCTTGTGCATGAATCACAAAAGGTAGGTCTGCAGGTACAACAAGTAATTAGGAAGGCAAATGGAATTTTGTCCTTCATTGCTAAAGGGATTGAAATAAAAAGCAGAGAGGTTATATTGCAGCTGTACAAGGTGCTGGTGAGACCACACCTGGAGTACTGTGTGCAGTTTTGGTTTCCTTACTTGAGAAAGGATGTACTGGCACTGGAGGGGGTGCAAAGGAGGTTCACTAGGTTGATTCCGGAGTTGAGGGGGTTGGCTAATGAGGAGAGACTGAGTAGATTGGGATTATATTCATTGGAATTCAGAAGATTGAGGGGGGAATCTTATAGAAACATATAAAATTATGAAGGGAATAGATAAGATAGAAGAAGAGAAGACGTTTCCACTGGCAGGTGAAGCTAGGACAAGAGGGCATAGTCTCAAGATTAGAGGGAGCAGATTTAGGACTGAACTGAGAAGGAATTTCTTCACCCAGAGGGTTGTTAATCTATCGAATTCCTTGCCCAGTGAAGTAGTTGACGCTACTTCAGTAAATGTTTTTAAAAAAAGGTAGATTTTTTTTTAACAATAAAGGAATTAAGGGATACGGTGAGAATGCGGGTAAGTGGATCTGAGTCCACGAAAGGATCAGCCATGATCTTATTGAATGGCGGAGCAGGCTCGAAGGGCCAGACGGCCTACTCCTGCTCCTAGTTCTTATGTTCTTATGTAGAGGAGGGCTTCCTCAGTTTATCAAGAGCCAAGTAGAGGCAGAAGTAGTTAAAGACAGATCCCGGCTTATGGAACCTAATGTAGTAAAATGTAGATGGGAGAAATGCATCAAGACCTGTATGACAAGCCAAAAGATCAAGGACCAGAGGGGAAATAAATATCAGTTCTCAGGATGATTTAAGACTTGATCATCAGGAGTGTGAAATATTTCCAGTTGCAAAAGAACAAAAGGCAGGAACAAGTATCACAGCGCAAGTACTTGGGCAACTTCTGTTCAAAAGATGGCTACTGCCATAAAGACATCAGTTAGAATAGCAAAAGGTGCATTCTCCAAATAAAGAAAGAATTACTCAGTATAATAATGAGTAGAGATTTTATAAAAACTGATCAAGACTCAGATTTGGAGTGTCATGTTCTACAGGTCTGAAAGATATGGACCTTGTGAAAAGCAAACACTCAAAGATTAAATGGTTGGGAAATGTGGTTCTGTATGGAAATGGAGAAGGTCAATTGGAGAGAACACAACAACAATGAAGAAGGTCTCAGGATGACACAGGAAGACCGATCGAAAGCAATCACTATCAAAAAGCAGCAAAGTTGGATTGGACTAAGGTGAGAGATTTGGTAAAGGTGGTAATTGAAGGAAGAGAGTAATGTGGACCAAAAGGGAGAAAGAGAGTGAAAGAATGCTAGAAAACTTGAAATTGAAAACTGAAGGCTCCCCATGAGCAACTGCAGAGGAAAGTGCAGGACTGAGGTACAAAAATGAAAAAAGCACTTCCCCTTATCCAAATCATTTGGTGCAGGCTTAGTAGGCCAAATTGCTTTCTTCTGTGCTGTACTATTCTATAACTCTATACCAAGGGAATTCCAGGTTAACTTCAAATAAATTCAGATCTATATTCAGTCTCCTGGTTAACCACGACTGCAACAGGAACTGTATTAATCATTAACTTGCTGAAAGGTTTAATAGAACGGTAGGGAAGTTGCATCGATTCTTACTCCTACTTGCTTTTCCTACAATACATATTTATCTGTGAATGTCAGATGAAAGCAAGATCAGGCTGACCTGTATTGCCTCAAAAATTTTATTGGCAATTAAATTCCTTTGCTGATGAGGATGCGTGGAGACCAAAATCAGCCCATGAAATCAGCAAAGCAGAGGAACCAGGAGCCATGACAACTGTACCGGCTCACAGCACATTTATATAATTGCCTAACCAGTGGTCAAAAAGGAAAACTTACAATAGAAGGTTGTAGATAGGGGCCTTTGCAGATAGTTCCGGGCACTGGCAAATGACATAGCTGAAAGGCGGCCAGCAACGGGGAGGATTGTAAATTGAGGCTGGCGGTGGTCCAAAGGCTTTCTTGGGAGGCCAGGAAACCATCCTACATCTCCCAGTCACTTACCTTGAAGAACCACTAGTTAGATTCAACTGCTAGATTTTCTGCAATTCAGGCCTACCTCAGTCATATAATCACAGTATGATTTTGGTTTATTAATTAGACTGTCAAATGCCTTTTTGGACAAGTAATTTCTGCACCTTAAAAGGGAGTGGGAATGAGTTGTGTTGCCTAATCTTTGTATTTTACACCCTATACTCATCCTTACCCCCTAAACCTTTTAATACCTATCAGTTGTGGGTTAAAATAGAAGCCACCAGTACTCACTGATTTCAGGAGTTATTAGAGGGCAGCCTGCTTGCATCTGTGGAATATTTGTCAGCAAGAATCAGAGAATATGGAAAGGTCAGAAATAAATGCAGTTGGAAATAAGTAATATAACCAAAAGCTCCCATTGATAAAGATGTAGATTCCGTATTAGTATCATAAAATTTCAATAATGAAGATGTAGTTACACTGAATAAACGAATCTTGATATTTACAGCCAACTGCTAATCTACAAAGATCAAAAAAACTGATTTAAGTATCACTATACACAAAATTGATAACAATTTGCCATTTTCACTTATCTAAAATTCAGTGCTATTTTTGAACTGAACACAACAACCAAGGTGCTTATACATTTTGAAGACAAATAAAAGCAAATTTACTTAAGTTGTAGATACACATGATATTTTAAAACTTGATTAACCAACAAATAGATTACTTACCGGGATGAGCTTGTCTCATGTGATACGTTACTGGATACTGATGAGATTCGCCACACAGCTCACATATAGTGTCTTTCTCAGGGCCCCCCATTGCTAGTTGTGCCATTTCTCCAAAAAGATTTCCTCTGGGTCTTGCCTCTGCTTTATCTTTTTTCTTCTTTTCTTTCTTACTCTTTTTGTTATCTTTTTCATTTTCTTTTTTCTTCAAGATAGCACTTGAACCAGGGCTAGGAAAGATCATATTCTGAGTGGCTGCTTTTATGGTTGCCATTGAGATATCCTCCCAAAAGGCAACAAGATGCTGTAAAGTAAGAGGCAAAGGGGATCTATTCTTCATGGAATGACTCAAAGTTTCATAGCCCATTGAATCTAGTTTTCCATCCTCATTTTTCTCAGGCAATGGGGGTTCTTTGAGCATTGAGAGCACCTTGTTTTTATTAATGCTGCCCATTTTTGATATGTCTGGACCATGTGGAGAAATATTGAACATATTTAAAGCAGATGATATTTCTAATGAATGCCTATTCTTTAACTTAGTCTCTCTTTCTTCAATGCCTTGTTGGCTGTGAAGACTGCTTCTCATTGGTGCATACTCTTTACTGAGATCCGGGTTGAATTTTAAGAAAGATGAACATGCCATTGCATCATGGACAACCCCTTCATGCCACAGGAAAGCTGCAAATACTGCACGAGCACATTCTGCGACAGATGGAGACATTGCTTGTTTTGGTGGTTCAGCAGAACAATTACTCTCATCCTTGAAAATGGTTCCCATTTTCTCCTTCTTGGGTCTCGTATGTCTGCCAGTAATCTTGCGACTCATCTTAGGAGATGATCTAGTTTCTTGTTCTTCTTTGGGTGGGGCTTTTCCTATGCTGAAGTGGACTTTTGGAGAGGAGTCATCAGCGTTGTGCATTTCAGCTATTTTTTCAGAGACTGCATCTGAGTTACTGGTTGTTGTCAGTGTACTAGATGTACAAATCGCAACTATTTCACTGTGAAGATTTTCTTGCACTACTTGAGGGGATGGCGTTCTGTTCTCTGTGTTGGCAGCAGTTTTTACCTCCTTGGAGAGTAACTTTGGTTTAGGTGAAGTTGACCGACCTCGCAGAGGCTCCATCAGAGGAACTTTTTTCTTACGAACTGTCTCAGGGTCCAAAGTATACGAATCAGATTTTGATCTCTCTCGTGGTGGATCCAATCTAATTTTTGTTGCAGTGTTCGCTTTATGAATCAAGTTTCGCTCATGAGGAGAAGATGGCCTTGGAGAATTAGGGCTCGACGGGCTGCCTTTCCCACATGATAACTTCTGTTTTGACAACACTGAACGTGACCCTGGTGTAGGGGACTCTGCCCTTAGTCCAGCAGTGATCTTCTCTTCTGTTTTTAGTGACTGTAATGTGTTATGATTTGGAGAAAGGGACCTACTATGAGAGTCTGATCTCAATTTGGCAGTGTCTGATTTAAGCATAAGGGATTCATTTGCAGACAGATTTTCTGCATTTTTTGTCTTTGTTTGCTCTGCAGCAGCCTTGTTGATCCGACCTTCAATTTTCTGCAATCGATTTTCAGTTTTGTGTTTGCAGGACAAATCAAAGGTTCCAGATGGTCTTCCAGATACTATAACATTTCCTTTCTCACCTGAAAATCATTTTGAAAACAATAACTTAGTCATTCACTACTTTTATTTTTGAAACACAAACGCAAAACACAATTTGCACGTTCCTCTCCAACACGTACACCAGCCTGACTTGGAACAATATGGCTTTTTCTTCTCTAGGACTGAGTCAATATTCTGTGACTCCCTTCCGAACAGCACTGTATATGTATCTACCCATGGACTGCAGAGGTTCAACGCAGCAGCAGTTTAAGGTGGCAGCACACCATTGCCTTCCCAAAGGCAATTTACAATGTGTAATAAATAGTGCCCTGGACTCCCATGAGTAAATTTTTAAAAAGTCTATTTCAATATAATTGCTGCTGTCCAACTGCAAAAAGATAAAATTCCAGCATTAAAAATATCATATTTGAGGAATAAAGAGTAAAGTTAACATACAAGTTATTTCCCACCTGTCTTACAACAGTTATAGGTTTGCTTGAATCGGAAGCATCTCAGTCCAAACTTCATAAAAATAGCTGCTGTTTTGGTTTAAGATGCCATTAACCAATAAAATGTATACACAGCCACAGTTAGCATTATATGAAAATAAACAGAGGTACTGCTACGAACACTAAGCTAATTACGATTTACAAAGGGTCAGAACCACCAATAGTAAACTATATTTTCCCAATGCTACTCTATATTTCCAAGTAAACCCAATCACAAAACTGCAGCCTGATCCTTTTTTACAATGTTGTCCAGACGACTTTGGATTTATTTAAATGACAATATAATCAAACATTGTTAAAAATCACGAGGTGAAACTTGTCAACCGCTTCTCCTTAGTCTTCATGCCTAACCTTGGAAGCAAACAGTAAATGGAAAGCACTGAGCTTCACTCAAAGCTTTACAACTAAAACCCTTGGTCTGCATAACTTTCCAAAAACACAAACTGGAATGATATTATTGTGTTATCCCCATTCCATGAGTTGGATATAAAATTGGTAAGCAAGTCTAAAATTAAGTGCAAAGAAACAGAATTTTGCCATATTATATGCAAGCCTTTAATAACTAAGCTCATTCAACAAACCATCACTGGTTTCCCAATTTCTAAAAAAGCTAATGAATACTTCTGTTCACAACATCCAAAATTCTAAAACAATCAATTTTTAAATCTAAAACTTCACCCTCAAGAGTCTCAAGAACTTTGTGAAGATACATTTCAGCTCTTCTGCAAGGTAGTGAAATATTTGGCTAGATAAGTTTTAGAAGGGCAAGTGTATGGAACAATAAATAACTCTGCATTTTAACACTCAAAGTATTCACGTAAGTGCAAAAAATGAAAATAAAACTTTTCAACACGTACTCATAAGCAACAGCAAAAGCATCACCACTTATCCTTGGCAGGAGTCCAGCAGTCATATAATCACTTATTTTTTAAAAATCACTACACGCATACCCACCCTTTGACTTCAGAGACACAGAGCAGACACCTGACCCAGGCCCTGAAGGACTATTACTTTTGCATGAGCGCTCACGTAAGGCAAGGTTGCGTGATGAAGGGTCTACAGGGGAAGACAGTGGCAGATAAGCAGCAGAGACTCAATGACAGAAATGCTTCAGCAGCAAAAATAAGCAAAGAAGCAATTTACAGAATGATTCACAAGTAAAAGACAAACTTTAGTCAGCTGTATGCTTTCATTTAAGGTAAAAATTGGGTTTTCCTTTCCGATTTTAAGTCTGACAATTCAGTGGCACATATTGGGATATTGTCAGAGCTAATGCAATGGAGCCATTCTTAAAAAGAAGTTCAGAATAAGGAACATTCCAAAATTAGTTACTACTAAGTAACAAAATGCTGTAAAAATTGCATGGAAGACAAACATTTCAAAATTCATTTTTAAAATTAAACATTACTGTAGTGACAGAAGACAGTAAATAGAACCTCAATAGTAAAGCAATAGGACAGAATATGTTAAGCAGGTGAGGCAGACAGACTTACTCAGAAGCTGTGGTTGAGACTGCGGCAAGGAAAGGGGTTGTCCAAACACAAATGGGCTGTGAACAAGGGAAGAGGAAGGCTTTGCAGCTTGACCAAAGACGCTAGAAGCTGTAAGGAAAGGCTGTGACTGAATGGTATTCAGTATGGCACTCAGTTGATCACCTGTGGCAGGCAAAATTAAGTAAGACTATGTTTGGCTTCTTGATTCCCTCAATTGACGCATTCCACTGATATTACATTGGCATGAAAGTACAAGGAACATGAAACTATTTTTCGTACCGTCGTACAATTACTGAGCAAGTTAAAAACACACGCAGTGAATGAACCACAATCTATAATCTGGCCTCAATTACAGTATAGCCGCCTTGAAAGCGTTTGTGACAATTCTCCACTACTAGGGTACGAAAGACTAAGACTACATCACATGAAAATAATTCAATTAAGTCCAGAAGACTATATGGAAAGGATGGATAGACAAGGGTTCCCTCACCCCCTCCCACCCAAGTAGGGGAGTCCAAAACTAGAGGGTACAAGTTTAAGGTGAGAAGGGAAAGATTTAAAAGGAGCCTGGTGAACAACTTTTCTGGAATCAGCTGCCAGAGGTGGTGGTGGTGGTGGTGAGTACAATTTCAACATTAATGGGTACATGACTAGCAGGGGTTAACGGGGATATGGGCCAAATGCTAGCAATTGGGGCTAGATCAGTTTAGGACATCTGGTTGGCACAGAACTGTTAGACTGAAGGGTCTATTTATGTGCTGTATAACCCTATGTAAATGCTTCTAAGTCATAACATTTTTGACTTATTACTGTTTTTGAACTTTATTCACAACTAAAATTGAGGAAATTAAGAGTGGATTCCACTCATTCTGCTCTTCCAGGTGCAGTGATGGGAACAAAGCGCTAATTGTCTCTACCCAAGGATCTTTTTGACCTCACAAACAGAACTTATTTATACATCTCCAACTCCAAGTCCAAGTGTTCAGTATTTTGCCATGAGAAAAATTCAACTACTGGAGCAACGTCAATAGATGACAAATGCTACTCTTTCCCAAGTTTCGTCAGTAGTCGTTTTCAGAACTAGGATCTGCTAATTCTCAGATATGTTTTCCTCTTCTGACTCGGCTATTAATCCAAGGGAGTTGTGGTCTTAAATGAGAGCCCCTCTTCTCACTCTTTTGGTAATTTAGGATTATCAGTTTTTGCATAAACTAAAGCTCCTTTCAAAGTCCTTGGTATTCTTCAGTTTGCTGGAAGTGATTCTGAAAGATAGGATTTATACGCATTTGGAGAAGCAAGGAATGATGGGGGATAGTCAGCATGGTTTTGTGCGAGGGAAATAGTGTCTCACAAACATGATTGAGTTTTTTGAGGAAGTTACCAAGAAAATTGACAAGGGCAGAGTGGCAGACATTGTTTACTTGAACTTTAGTAAAACCGTTGACATGGTTCCATACGGTAGACTAACTAGTAAAGTTAGATCACATGGGATTCAGATTGGGCTCAAGACTGTCTTAACGACTGGAGAGAGAGAGAGACAGTGGAGGGGTGCTTTTCGGACTGGAGACCTGTGACCAACAGTGTTCAGAGGGATTGGTGCTGGGTCTACTTTTGTTTGTCATTTTATATAAATGATTTAGAGAAGAATATAGAAGGCATGGTTAGTAAGTTTGTGGATGACACCAAGGTTGTTGGTATAATGGACAGTGAAGAAAGTTATCTAAGATTACAAAGAGATCTTGATCAATTGGGTCAACAGGCTGAAGAGTAGCAAATAAAGCTTAATTTAGATAAATGAGAGGTAAAAACAAACAAAGATCAGACTTATACAATTAAAAGTAGGACCTTGGACAGTGTTGTAGAACAGAAGAGACCTAGGGGTTCAGGCACATAATTCTTTGAAGTTTGCATTACATATGGTTAAGGTGGTTAAGAAGGCATTTAGCATGCTTGCCTACATTGCTCAGATCTTTGAATATAGGAGTTGGGACATTATGTTGAGGTTGTACAGGACAATGGTGAGGCCTCTCCTGTGTGCAATTCTGATCACCCTATTATAGGAAGGATATTAAGCTGGGTTCAGAACAGATTTACCAGGATGTTTCTGGGAATGGAGGGTTTGAGTTATAAGGAGAGGCTGGATAAGCTGGGACTTTTTTTCACTGGAGCATAGGAGGTTGACAGGTGACCTGATAAAGGTTTATAAAATAATGAGGGGTATAGATAAGGTGAAGGGCAGGTGATTTTACCTAGGGTGGGGGATCTTAAGCATAGGGAGGCAGATTTTAAAGATGAGAGGAGAAAGATATAAAAAAGACGTTGGAGGCTTTTTTAAAAAACAGAGTGGTTCACGTGAGGAATGAACTTCCAGAGGAAGTGGAGGATGCAGCTACAGTTACAACGTTTAAAAAACATTTAAATAAGTAAGTACAAGAATAGGAGATGCTTGGAGGGATATGGCCAAGCACAGGCAGGTGGGATCATGGTTGGACTGAAGGGTCTGTTTCCATGCTGTATGACTCTATAACTGCTACTCTAAGGAAAAAAATTCCAACTTTGACAGTCTATCCATGTAACTGAAGTTCACCCCAGAACTGTTTTCCTAAATCTTTTCTCAGCCTGTTCTGAAGCCTTCACGTCCTTCCTAAAGTACAGTGCCCAGATTTGGAAATGATACTCCAACTGAGGCTGAACCAGATTTTTCTGAAGACTCAATTACCTCCTTGCTTTTGTATTCTAAGCATCTGCTTATAAAATTCAGGATCTTGTTGTTTTTCTAACTATCCCTCAACCTCCACTTTACAATTGTCTTTGTTTATGTTAAGTCTCGTTTTTCTGAGCAAAATGTACCATTCACCCTTGTTTGCATTACATTTCATGACTCAATACTTGACAATGTTTTGCTGGCCAGAGATTTCACTGACACTATCTTACATAGTCCCTTTACTGTGCCTTAAATATTCATGGTTAACCTTGCTGAGTAATATGGAATGCTCATGTCAGCTTCAATCAGCTGTAGCACTTTAACAGGCGAGTCAAATTGAAATATGGAGAATACCAATTTGGCAGGGTGCTAACACCTGAATCAGAAATAATGTACATTTCAATATATGCTGCAAGGAAGTGATAGGAACTCAACTAATGATCCATGTACTGTGAACTAGGCTTTCTTTGTTAACCCAACATTGTCGTACCTCAATGCCTAGTTTTAATTTGTTGTCACTGAAACTTTTATAATCAGCATGGCGCCTGAGAGAACTTATTTCACCGTACAGGTTTCAAGCAGCTTTTACATGATAATCAAGGACCAAAGAGCAAAAGCCCCATTCGCGCACACAATTTCTCAGAGAAGATGCTATTCTGAAATCAGAACCGAAAAAACTGTGATTGCTCTAAACTGAGGATGGGTCACTGGACCTGAAATGTTAACTCTGTTTTTTCCTTCACAGATGCTGCCAGACAGTTAGCAATTTGAGGAAATCTCTATTTTGTATATATCTTTCTATCATATAGTTGTCTGTTTTCTAGCATCTCTGGGAATTGTCCTTTCCAGAATTAGCCTGCTGGAAAGGACAATTCCCAGAAATGCTAAAAAACAGACAACTATATGATAAAGGTATGTACAAAATAGAAATTTCCCCAAATTGCTGAGAAATGTAATATTCATAGTGAAAAACCAGTTTCCAATATATGTCCCTTATGGTAAGACAATTAGAGAAGGTAACACAAAGCTTAGTGAGAGTGTAATCTGTAAGAACGATGCAGAGATACTTCAGTACGATTTGGACATATTGAGTGAATGGACAAATACATTGGCAGATGAAGCATAATGTGGATAAATGAGGTTATCTACTTTGGCAGCTAAAACAGGAAGATAGATTATTATTTGAATGGTGATAGATTGGAAAAGGGGGAGGTGCGATGAGGCCTAGGAGTCCTGTATAGCAGTTGCTGAAAGTAAATAGGCAGGTGCAACAGATAGTAAAATACAAATGTTATGCCGACTTTCACAGCAAGACAAATCAAGTTTAAAAAAAAGCAGGGACTTCTTCCTGAAATTATGTGCCTTGTTGAGATCACACCTGGAATATTATATGCAGTCTTGGTCTCCTCATCTGAGGAAGGATGCTCTGGCTATGGAGGGAGTGCAGCAAATGTTTGCTAGACAGATTCCTAGGTTGACAGGGCTGACACATGGAGAGACTGGATCAGTTAGGACTATAATCACTGGGGTTAAGAGAGAGAGAGGTGGGAAATAAACATAAAAGTTGAACAGGTCTAGACAGGGTAAATGCAGAAACTATGTTCCCAATAACCAGGGAGACCGCAACCAGGGGTCACAGCCTATAGATACAGGGCAGGCCTTTCTGAATTGAGATGAGGAAAATGTCTCCACCCAGACAGTGGTGAGCCTGTGGAATTCTCTGCCACAGAAAGCAGCTGAGGCCAAACACTGAACGTATTCTAGAACGAGTTAGATACAGTTGTTAGGGCTAACAGGACTAAATAAATATGGGGAGAAAGTGAGAAGAGGGTACTGAATCGGATAATCAGCCCTGATCAGATTGAATGACGGAGCAAGTTCAGTGGACTGAATGGCCTCCTCCTGCTTCTATTTTCTATTTTGTCTATGAAACTAAGCGGCACTGTTCACAGAAGGAATTCCTGTTCATACCCTTTACTTGTTTTGGGAAAGGAAGGTGGTGGTAATAAAAAAAAGGAGGACAGAAAATTAGAAAAAAATTATTGCCTCAGATGTTGAGTGTATGTGCATTTCAATATTTCCTTGATTGTGGATGAATTGCAAAAATGGAAGCAATCATTCTGGAGGCATATTCTGACAATGATATACTTTAAACTCAAGAAAAAAAGCAAAGCTGATTTGTATTTGATCACTACAGTTCAAAGCAGATGGAAGAACAGAATTTGAACAAAGGACCTCAGATTATATCTGGTCTTATTCTCCAGATGTAAAACATTTTTCTATACTGCCATACTTGAACCTCTCTAACAGCAAAGGAAAATAAATAACTTTACACAATTTGATCCCCACTACCTATGTCTTTTGGGTGAAAGCCTCAAAAAGATGACAATGGCAATCCACAACCTGATCTCATCCTGGCTTAATCTGTTTCACTGATCCTGCTTTAGATTAACTAAAATCATCTTTTTAAAAACAGGCATTTCAGAAGATGGTGTATGGCAACTGTGTGTTTTGACCCAGTGGTCTCTACCACAAGCTCCTTGTGATTACTGGGCATTGGTATGAAAGAGGTTCCTCCTTTTCCATTCCTCAAAAAGAATTCAAACAGGAAGTCATTTTGAGAGATTTCAAGGTGCTCAATAATCGGGGGAAATGCTACAATAAATATTTAAGTTATCCAAGAGATAAAATGCCTGATCAAGAATGAGTTTAGCAAACGATCTATGCCCAACTGCAAGATAGTAGAAGTAGTGGGTCTTCAGGTTCCATCAGGACCTCAACAGCTCTTGAACTCGGATCATACCTCACTGGAGGAAGTGTTAAACTGACGCTGACTGCATTTCTACAAAGTGCAAAGGAGAAATTAAATATTCCACATAACGTTACCAATCAACTCCATGATTCTCTAGCAAAGCTGAAAAGTGTTACCTTTAGACCACTACTTAGTCTGAAAGTAAGTCATTAAGGTCCTTGCTTTTTAAGGATGGTGTTGAGGTTATGAGCTAGGCAAAGGATAAAACTCTACTTAAAGGAGCTCAACTAAAAAAAAAATTAAACAAGGCAGCATGCTAACATGCAAAAAGTTATAATAATGCTTGACATTATACACATAATTGAAGCAATCAAATCATGAAGAATATAAAATTAGCTTGTTGAATTCATGGTGTGCTTAAGATATTTTCTACTTGTAGAAAACAAAGATAGAACCTTTACATTACAGTCCAGTAATTCTGGAGATCAGCCAATAGAGAATATCACAGACAAGATAATTAGATTCCTAAAACATGCTGACAGAACCAAGCTAAAATTTGGAACCTTCCAAAAAATTTCATTTAGATGCAGAAAGAAACAAAATTGCAAGAATGGTCCTGTAAACTACATTATTCAGATTTCAAGTTGAATTTTGAACATTGTATTGTACTCCAATTTTACAAAGTTACTGGGCAAATGAAGCTCAACAGATTCCAATGACATGGCAAATAAACACGTTTTGTTATGGAAGGAGAATTGTAGACATTACCTTGCCATTTTGTTAAAAAGTAGTGCTTCTTCCTACCTTTGCTCGAATAGAGAAAAGCAAATGTATACTCCATAATATTCCCCACCATGATACCACACACTTACCAGGCTCAGTGAAGGACCCTAAGCCAAGGTCTGCAGTGATTTCGTCTTGAAAAGAAAAAAGTGAGATATAATTAACACAAAATTGTCAATTTATAAATCGGTGTCTTAACACAAAATGGAAGCAACTAGAATGACAAGAAATAATTAAATACAGCACTTTAACAATACGACTCAAAGCCCTTGTATATAAACAAGGCACCACAGAATTATCAACACTTGCTTTGAAAATTGCTAGTGAGTTTTGGGATACATTTTTGAAGGAATGCTCCTTTACGTGCAAGTAAACATGGAACTAGAAAGACCTTTTTCATGTACTCATTCCAAGCAATTTCCTGTGTTAAGAGTGTAAAATTTCTGCTAGTTCAAGTACATACCTTTTCACTGGAACTGGTACAAGGACTTGTGAATTAGTATAACTGTTAAACACAAATAATATTTAAGGTTCTTGCGAAGATTTGTGGCTTGGTTTGTGGATGAGGTTGTTGGCTTGCTCGCCGTGCTGGCTAGTTATTGTACAGACGTTTTATCACCATGCTAGGTAACATCATCAGTACGGCCTTAGATGAAGTGATGTTGTTCTACTCCACTTGGTATTTATTATGATACTCCTATAAATATGATACTGGTGATAAAACGTTTGTATAATAATCTGTCAGCTCAGCGAGTAAGCCAACAACCACAAGTGATATTTGACGACTTCTCCCATTGGACGCAGCGTCCAACAAGGGTTATGCTTGTACCCACAATTTTCTCCAACTTCCTAGCATTCATTCCAACAATGTCAAAGATGCCATCCCACCCACGGTTCGAACTGAATGTGGGTACAACAGATTGCCTTCGATCTTTTCAGTTTGAAAAGCTAACACTATTGTGCATGACCACAACAGATCTCCAATATGCATATGACAAATCATCCTGGCGTACACAGAAAATAACCTACCTTGATCTGTTTGAAGAAACCTATTGATCCCTATTAAGAGCTACACAGGGATGTTTTCACCGTAAGGTCATTAATCAGCCTGCTGCACATTACCAGATCTAGAACAGCTTTCTCTCTTTCATGAAGAATTATAAAACAAAATAACACAAAGTTGCCTGGGGAGAAAGATGAGGAGATAACGAACAGCTTGATCAGAGGATTTAGATTTAATGAAGCATTTAGTTTGAGAGAATGTTGCCGAACGAAGGGACATAGAGGTGCAGGTGCATCGTTCCTTTGAAGTGGAGTTGCAGGTAGACAGATTGGTGAAGGCAGCATTTGGCACACTTGCCTTCACTGGTCAGTGCATCGAATGTAGGAGTTGGAGGTCATGTTGCAACTGTACAGGACATTGGTCAGGCTACTTTTGGAATACTGTGCGCAATTCTGTGCTCCCTGCTATAGGAAGGATGTTGCAAAACTTGGAACAGTTCAGGAAAGATATACAAGGATGTTGCCAGGGTTGGAGAATCTGAGCTGTAGGGAGAGGCTGAATAGACTGGGGCTATTTTCCCTCAAGTGGAGGCTGAGGGGTGACCTTATAGAGGTTTATAAAATCATGAGGGGCATGGATAGGGTGATTGGCCAAGGTCTTTTTCCAAGAGCAGTTAAGTCTAAAACTAGAGAGAGCATAGGTTTAAGGTGAGAGAGGAAAGATTTAAAAGGAACATAAGGGGTAACATTTTCATGCAGAGTGTGGTGCATGCATGGAACAAGCTGCCAGAGGAAGTGGTGGAGGTGGGTACAATTACAGCATTTAAAAACCATCTGGAAGAGTACATCAATAGGAAGGGTTTAGAGGGAGATGGGCCAAATGCTGGCAAACAGGACTAGATCAGTTTAGGATATCTGGTCAGTATGGATGCGGTGGACTGAAGGGTGTGTTTCTATGCTGTATAGCTCAATGACTAACATCTTCAAGATGACAGAATTAGAGACTTAGATGGGTTTAGGGAGGGAATTCCAGAACTTAAAGGATTTCCATCAACAAATATGAATGTAAATGCTATTTCAGAGACTAAATTTCTATTTCTTTCCTTTTATTTATGAACATCTAAATGACTCCAATTAGATAGTAGAGAAACAGAACAGACTTATTCCAATGAAGCAGCAAAACAAAACAGGGCAAAATTCACAATATGTGGATTCCCTCCAATGAAGTACATAAACGATTTTCACATACCTTTGGCATTTGCAAGACTGTAGTCAAATCCTTGAGTATTGTTTCCACTTGCACTCCTGTTGAAAGCAGGAGCCGTGAAAGGACTAGGTGGTGGTGTTTGAGGTGCTTGATCCAGCAGTGCTTGTTCTGTCAAAGAAAATTATTTTAAGCGTATTTTGGAAGGACTGTAAATTAAGCTAGGGTAGTTCAATCATGGTTGTAAAACTGAGATTTTCTTCTGCATGGTTTGGAAATTGAAGTGAAAAATATTTATGTAAATATATGGAATAAAAGAATGAACCTATTAGTTTCTGTTTTATAATTAATCCCAATTACGTGCTGGCTAGAGGGATGTTGAGCAAAAAGGGGAAAAGAACAGCCATCATATAGCAAGGGAACATTCTTTTCAGGATATGTTTTGGAGCCCAAGACCTGTTGACAAAACAGATGTCTCATTTTAGTATGAGCTTTTCGAATAGCTTTAATGGTTCAGCAAGTGAGTTCACATTGGGAAGGGGCTCTGAATTTGAAGCCAAGCAACAATATTGTGAATTATTTCGCGCTCTTGATAACGTATTTAATCAGTAAGATATACTAGAAGGTAGCGTGTTCTGATTTGATCAAATTCCCAAGATTAAAAACATCCTTCAAGCTAAGATCCTTCTTTACACACTTCTTGCAAACATATTCCAAAAATGGTAAACAAAATATATCACTTCACCTAGTAGACACCAATACATACAGGGATGCTCGCTGCATAAGAAAATAAATCTACATTTTACAGCCTCCATTCTGTTGACATTCATGTAATAAGTTATCAATTGCAGGGCTAGTTTCCAAGGTTACCTACTCTAAATATATCTCCCTATGTGGCTCTGTTTTATTTTGTTTCATGTGCTCCTCTGAAGAGGAGCTATTCTTGATCTGGTCATGTACAATAGGGCAGGATTCATCAATCACCTTCTAGTGAAGGCATCCCTAGGTAGCGCTTACCATGACTTGATAAGTATCACGATGGATGGTTCTGCTGCCTTTGTCTGTCATTCTTAAAGTCTATTTGTTTGAGCTATTTAGTGTTGTGATCCTTCAGTCAACTCTTTCCAAAAAAGACAGACACTGTACGGACATACTTAAAGGTATGCACGCTAAAATATTGGCCTAATAATTGAACATAAACCCAATGTTTATACAGTGAATTCCTAAAAGAAATCTCTGACCAATATGGAGACAGATTACACCATAGATGATTTTAACAGGGCAGGTCTTTGCACCACATCCTGTCTCACCCAGTCACAACATCTTCCTTTGTTATGTGAGTGAATATGCATGATGTGCTCCTGCTGGGATTCTCAAGGCTAAAGGAAGACCACCACTGATGCTCCCCAAAATAGTAGCAATGCTGGTACATTACCAGAGAAGGTTGGACACAACTGAAGGAACTAAACAATAATGGAACAATTGTTCCTTAGCTGTTTTAAGAAACTGAGCTCTGCAGATTAAATACTTGACACCAGACTGGACAGACCGGCAGCTGTGACAAGATCCTTGTGAGAAATAAAAGATAAGAATCTCTAGCACAAGTACAACATAAAGAAATAAAGCTTCCCCCATCCCGTCCCCCCAACTCCCGAAAAAAAAAAGGTCATGCAAGACTATAGGATGTAAAGTGCGGATTAATGATTTGAACAATAATGAAATAATTTTAATGGAATAGTTATTTCAAGTGGCGTTCTGAGAAATTCAATTTATATCTTTGTTTGCAGGATCACAAAGAACAATCAATTTTAGCTTTCAATATCTTTTGAAAATACTACAGAGGACAGATTTATTCGGCACAAAGTGATTGACTAAATAACGAGCACCTACCCTCTTCGTGTCTTAGGTACTGGTTACCACCTCTGTCTCTGGCCAAGGACCAGGCCTCACCTTCGCTGCTTTCACAGAATTCCACCATGGTGTTCTTATCTAGCTGGATCCACGTGCCCTCGTGATTTGCCACCTATTATACAAACAACACTTTTGTCTTGTTCCATATTTAACAATAGAATTTGGGTATCTGCAGAGTTGAGACTGTTTAAATATTTTACATCTCAGAATTTAAAATGACTCAGCTTGGAAAGGTCCTTTTTAACCCACAGATTATTGCAACATGATGTAAATTAAAATGCTGAGTACTTAGGAAAGAAAGTTGGTTTGTGATAGCCTACTGAATTTCTGAATTTTTAACCACTGACTGCTAAAATACCGTTCTGAATTTAAACACAAAAAGCTGGAATTTGCTGGAGCAAAGGCACACATGACATATTGGACAGTTCATGTTTTCCTCTCACTTTTCGCTTGAAATGAATTTGACTTGCCAATTGCTGGAAGCAGGAGCTGATACTGGGTTGAGGACAATATGGCAACTAGGACCTTGGGTGGATGATAGAACCAACTGCAAATTATCTCAACTAATTTGGATGAAGGATTTAGAAATAAACAGTCTCACCTGTTTCTGAACTGTATCATAATATATCTACCTAAGTTGATTAACCAAAGAGTCTCTTATGGTACAGTGGTAGTGTCTTTACCTCTGGGCCAGAAGGCCTGCATTCAAGTCTCACATACTCCAGGGATATATCATAACATTTCCGAACAAGTTCATTTAAAATATGGAGGAATAAACAGAGGAAGGACTGAAAAAGAGGATGAATTCAGTATCAATTTAGGTGTTGAGAAGTGAAAGAAGGAAACAAGATAGACAGGAAACAAATGTACGGTGGGAATGTCTGGAAGAAAATTTGAGTGACAGCTGACAGAATTCCATAGTGGGCACTGCAGGATTGCATGCAGATCCATGAGGGAAGCTCAATGCATTTGGGGATGGAATGCTTTGGGCAGGATGGATTTGACAACTCAGGGAAGTGAAGGATGGGCATCAAGGGATGATGGGGGACTGTGAATTTGTAGTATAGGCGGGCATGGATAAAGTGGGTGGGTGTCTTCAATGCGAAAAGGGCAGCCCAACCCTCACCACACCACATCCTCCTGTCCCCAACTGATAAAGTGTCCACAAGGATCCATCCTTTTAAATATCTTCTAAAAACTGAATGCCCACTCTAGTTCACCTCCTCACACCAATCATCTTATGGCCTAGATAGTGTAATATCAATGTCAATTGAACTTTGAACGAGTTCAAGTGACTTGAAATTACTTATTTAAATATGGTAAGCTGCTGGTTTCAGTTCTCTCCACCCTCCAAATTTAGGGGGAGAGCTTGGTCATAGTTAGGAAAGTGGTGCATTAGCCTCCTAACTATAGGACCTATAGTACACTCCTCACCACCACCCCTTCCCCTCCACCCCCAACTCCAGACAAACATTCAGCCCAAACACAAACAGCAAAATGGGAAATTAAGAATTTAAATTTTGTGAAGCTCCAATAATTCAAGACTTGAAGGGCAGACACTCCACAATTTAACAACTGACTTTCTCATCTGAGAGGTTCATTGGCATCAATGCTCCAAGTAGAATGGGCAATCAAGCAGCAAATTGAATGATAATGCTCAGATTACTTTAGACATTTTGCCTATGATCTGAGCAGGTGTGGCTGTGCGTAAATATTTAAAAGCACAATGCACACAGACATGAACAGGTAGTTCATAATTTTAAAAATTTAGAGGGGACAATCATTGGCAGTCATTAACAGTTATGTACAAGTGACATTTTAATCCCATTTCATACCAACAAGAGAACTCTATAGAGTTTAAATTGTCTAAATGTTTTATGTCTCTATCATTTCTATGTTTGTTCAGTTCTGATAGCAGGTCATCAACTTGAAGCATTTGCTCCATTTCTTTCCATAGATGCTGCCTGGCCTGAATATTTCAAACATTTTTCTGTTTTTATCAAACAGTATTTGATGAACATGGTACTTGCTATTATTTGTAGTAACTACATAGTGAGGACAGTGGGCTATTAGGGAAGCAAATACAGCACCTTCAGGTAATCCATGAAAAATAAACACAGACACTGCTTTCACAATTTGCAATTCACAAGGTATTTCCTCCTTGTCACAACTTACTAGCCAATTTGCGCATGAACAAATGTTCAAAAGTTGGTACTATTCACATGCCATTATATATTCAGCAAATTCCAGTCCAATAGATTTTTAAGAAAAAGGTCGGATAGAATTATTTCTCATGTATGCATTGTTCTTAAATATTCCTTTAAAAACTATAGATCATAAATAAGGATCCGCGATAATGACTTATTGAGTGTAACTACAGGATTCAAAAACGTGTGAATTATATCTTTCACTGTTTCACTTAACACTCACTACAACTACCAAATTTGGAACAGATTTGACATTTAAGTTACACATGCAAAATTGTTAGATTCTGTGAAGTACAATAATTTCAGTAAAATCTACCTTAACAATTTAGATGCTTAGTTTTGGCTTTCAAATTATAAAAGGAGCAGCCAGAATATATTTATCAAAATCTTTGCAGTAATTTATGTAACACAGGAATAAAAGTGTTTTTTTTTTTGGCAAATTAATTTGCCAAAGACAGTGCGACTTACACGAGTTATAGTCGGTGAAGAAAATTAGTTTCTGAAGTGTAGAATACACAAAAGCAAATCAAATCAAAGCAACAGATCATGTTAAATCATAGGATTTTTCAGCTCAGAAGCATAGTTTGAGCCTGCAGTTCACCAAATTTGGTAAGCATGGTATAAAAGCTTTCATGATTTGTCAAAGCACCCAAAGGCATCATTTCCAATTTTCTTAATGAAGGAATTATACCAATATCAGATGTCCTCTTATGATATTATGCAAAAGCTTGAGAAGACATCAAATTTGCAGCATTTGCTCTAATGTGTTGATTGATACCTGCAATAACACTTTCATGAATCCATACCTCGCCTAATGCCTTGACTCTGTTCCCAAGAACTAACATTCCAATGGGGATACCTCTAAGGTTAGGGCAGCTCCTGATGTTGTGCCCTGAAGGCCCAGTCTTCACTACCTTATATACTCCTGGTCCGCCTTGCAGGAACATCTTTTCCTGCTCTTTCAACACTACTTCATGGGACCGACGTGAATTTACTTCTCTGAAGTAATCATCAGTGATGGATTTAGGCTCCTGGGAAGAAAAAGCAGATAAATTAGTTGTGCTAAAGCATTTGACTGTAATTTGTTAAAATTAGTTTAAGTGCAGAATACACAAAAGACAAGCAAAGCAAAGACTTAACACAAATTCAAGTTCCCATGATTGAAGAGTTGCAAATAGCATTTATGCCATAAAACATTAGAATATAATCCATTCTATTAGGTAAGTATAAAGTTTCTTTGGCAATTTGTGTGCAAACAAAGAAATCGCAACAGTCAGAAAGCAACTTGGATAGAAAGCAACTCTCACTGGATCCTCTCATTGTCTCAATTTTGCTTGACATCCAGTACTGGATGAGATGAAATTTCCTCCAATTAAATATTGCGAATATCAAATGTGGTCATCTTCAGTTTTGGTAAAATCTCCATTCAGTTGCCACCAACTCCAGCCTTCTCACTGACAACTGCTTGTTCAGCCTCAAAATGAGCTTCTAAACACAAGTCTGCTATTGCCAAGACCATTTATTTCCATCTCCGTCACATTGCCTAAATCTGCCACTACTGCAATGCTGATGAAACACTCATCTATACCTTGCTCTAGACTCAATTATTCCAATTCATTTCTGGACGCTTCAGCCTCATACCAAGTCCCATGCATAGGCACCCCTATACTCGCCAAGCTTCGGTCAGCAAAGTTTCATGTTAAAATGTCTATTCTTGTTTCAATTTCCTCAATGGCTTTACTCCTTGTTATCTTTAATTTCCTCCGGTTCTAAACTCTCCAAGATATCTGCAATACTCCAATTCTAGCCCCTCTAATTTTAATCACTCAACCATTTGTAGCTAAGCGTACACCTACCAAGTGTCTAAGGCTCTAGAATTCGCTTGTTAAAACTCTTCACTGCTCCTTCCTTCTCATTGTAGGACATTCCTTAAAACCTAACTCTTTGACCAAGCTTTAGGACACCTCTCTTCTTTCCCTTTAAGAGGATTAGTATTAAATCTTCATCTGATAAAGCTCATCAAGTTTGGGAGAGTTTACAGCTTAAAAGGCATTATATACATATAAAAGTTATTGATACTGCCGAAAACTCTTACAACTAGAATACTTAAATAATAATGCTGAAATTTGTAACTTCTCAAAAAGTAGAAGGATATTGAATAATAGTAATTGTTAACTTTAGTAAAAATAAAATTTTACAAAGATTTCTGTAACATCAATGAACATGTTTCAGTTGAGAAATAGCTCAAGACAAATTTGATGGATGGTTACAGTTCTTGAGGAGGACTACTGAGTCTATGTCAGCTCTCTGCAATAGCAATTTAGCAAGTTCCACTTATACTGTAGCCCTGCAAATAATTATTTCGGGTGCTTGTTTTACGTCCATTTGAAAGCCATAATTGAATCTCCCTCAACAGCACTCTCAAAAGCAGTGCATTTCAAGACAGTCACTGCGTTAAAATAAAAGTCAGCTTTTACATGTTCCCTTTGGCTCTTTTCCCAATCACCTCAAAATTGTACTTCCTGCCTCTCAGGTTTTACCGATGGGAATAATCTACTCTGTCAAGAGCCATCATGGTGCTGATCACCCCCCTGTCATATTTCCTTGCAACTTTTCTCTCCTTTCAGAGCCACCCCAGCTTCTCCAAACTATTCACATAAATCAAGTTCTTCACTCCTGGAATCATTCTAAAGTGCAATGCCCACAACTGGGGACACAATGTTTAATAAAAGTTCATAAGTTTGAGATAGCAAGAACCACAGATACTGGAGTCAGAGATAACACAGTGTGGAGCTGGATGAACACAGCAGGCCAGGCAGCATCAGAGGAGCAGGAAAGTTGACGTTCTGAGTCAGGACCCTTCTTCAGAAATGGGGAGGGGGAAGGGGGAAGGGATCTGGGAAATAAATAGACAGAGGAGGGATGGTGCTGGGGAAGGTAGGTGGGATGGTGATAGGTGAATGCAGGTTGGGAGTGGTGGGGATTGGTCAGTGGGGTGGGAGGGGCAGATAGGTGGGAGAGAAGATGGCCTGGTTGTGCCAGGTCAAAGAGGTGGGATGAGAGGGAAGGTTGGACGTGGGAGGAGGCCGGGGGTGGGGAGATTTTAAAACTGGTGAATTCCGTGTTTAGGCCATCGGGCTGTAGGCTCCTGAGGTGGAAAATGAGGTGCTGCTGCTCAAGTTTTCAGGTGGCATTCTATCCACCCCTCCCACGCCACTGACCAATACCTGCACTCACCTTTCACCATCCCACCTACGTTCCCCCGCCCACCCCTCCTCTCTATTTATTTCCCAGCTCCCTTCCTCCTCTCCATTGTTGAAGGGTCCCGACCTGAAACATCAACTGTCCTGCTCCTCTGATGCTGCCGCACCTCATAACTTCCTTGTTTTTGCATTCTATGCTTCTATTTATAGAAATTGGAATTCTGACTATTTTCTCAACTTGCCCTACACCTTCAATTATGCAGACTTTCCTAGTGCTTGTTCCCACACTCCATTTAGAATTGTCATTTTTAAATTTTATATTGCTTCTCGTTTTACTTCACAATTCACATTTCTGTAATATTCTTCAATTAAAGAATATTCTGTAGCATATAATTTTATAGCCAAATCCTTGCTGGAAAAGTTAATTGCATCCCTTCATGGCAAATTAAATAACTAAGTAGTTAACATGTGGAAGATGAAAACCTGGAGAAGACAAATCACATATGAGGAACGGTTTTATGCTGTGCTTGTGCTCTGTAGATCAAGAGATGGAAATCTGACATGAAAACTATGAGCAAAGGCATGTTATACAAAACAAATGTCATCAAGATGTCAGCATCATACAAAACTTATTTTTAACGAGATTTATTTTGGAAATATATTCGTAAACTTCCATTAATTTAAACAAAAAACACTTAAAGATACTTTATTTGAGAAGCCAAGCATTAATGCTCAATTTTAAACCTGACACTATTTCATCAAATCAATCCATGTCATAATATCCATGGCCTTGGATGCCCTTACTAGCATTAAAGGAAATCTAATTAACAACATTCAGGAGAAACATGGACACGTTTCTAATGAAGATGTTAAGATTCCTTGATAAAATGTCTGAGTTATCTAAAGCATTCATCATATTTATGCCGTAGCATCCAATTAGTCAAATTTAGAAAAATGCTTTTAAATTAAAATGCTCAAATTACATGCCCAACCAGATTCCAAATCCCAGCCAATGAATCTAACTGAAGTCCAACCAATCAAACATTAATCTCAAATCGGGTTACTAAGTGGACTAGCATGCCCAAAGAAATTGATGACACATTCTTCAATCTTGAAGCAAAGCAAGGTACTCAAAGTTAGTGCGTAGCAAAACACCTATTCACACTCCCACTTGAAATAAGATTGCAGCAAAAGTAAAGAGATAAGATAAAACAGAGCCAATAGAAAAGATGGACTTGAAAATGATTATTGTTGTTAAATACAAAATACATTTTTGAGTTAGTTTATCATACAAAGCAAACATTTATTGCTAGCTCAGAATTTGCTGCACAACTTGACTCATATGACATGCCTCTATCCATGGTGTAAGGCAGATATGTTTGAATATTACAAAGCCTTGTATTTTTTGATTGACTCAAAGTTCACATTCAAAGAAAAGCTGAATATTTCAATTGCAGAAATGATACCAGGATTAATCATATCTCTGAAAAAGTCTGTTCAGGCCACTTGCACCAGTCATTTTGGTTTCCCAAGCATTCCATTCCAAAGTATGATCGACAATTCCAAAACAAAACCGTATTTAAGGAAATAGTATCCTTAAACCTGACCTAAGCCATTTTAATCTTAAAACAGCTTTCAAAAGACCTGGATCCAAGTGCAGCACTCTACAGATTCATTGAAAGTTTATGGCTCAGAAAGAGGCCACTTGACTCCATCGTGTCAGCACCAACTAAAATTTATCCCATTTTTCAGCATTTGGGCCAGAACTTTACAGATTGCAGCACTTGAGGTGCATATCCAGACACCTTTTAAATGGTTCAAGGGTTTTTGCCTCAATTAACTTTACAGGCAGTGAGTTCTAGACCCCTACCACTCTCCATATGAAAAAAAGTTCTTTCTACCAATCAATTTAAATTACAATTCTTAATCACTAATCTCTCTCTTAAGGTAAATAGGCCCTTTGCATTTATTCAATCTAGGTCCCTCATAATTTTGTACATCTTAAATCAAATCTCTTCTCAGTCTTCTCTGTCCTAAAGAGACAAACCCTAGCCTAACTAATTTATCCTCAAAGCTGCATTTTCCTGTCCTGGCAGCATCTTCAAAAATCTCCTCTGCAGTCACATCTATTCTGTAATGAGCTGACCAGAACTGCACACAGTACTCAAATTATGGCCTAACTGATGATCTGAATTGTTATAGCACAACCTCACTCGTCTTATACATGCTAGTTAAAGGAAAAAGTTCTATGTGCTTTCTTAACCATTGTATTAAACTGTCCTACTACCTTCAGGGGTCTGTAGACATTCATCCCAAGGTCCTTCACTGTCTAAAACTTTCAGTATTCTCCTACTAATTGTGCATTCATTTGCCATATTTGACCTTTGCAGATGCATCACTTCATAATGCTTTGATATTTGTTCAACAGTTATGCAAGTTGCTCGCTGAGCCTGCATTTGTTGCTCAACCCTAATGGCTCCTGAACTGAGTGGTTAGACAGGCCAATTCAGAAAGCAGTTGAGTTAACCAATGGTCTGGGACTGGAGTCACATGTGGCCAGACCAGTTAAGGATAGCAGATTTCCTTCCTGAATGGGTATTAATCAAAAAGATGGCTATTTAGAACAATCAACAATGATTACACAGTTGACATTAGGCTAGCTGTTAATTTCAGATTCTTTTTATTGAATTAAAATATCTTCAGACACAATGGGATTTGAACCTACCACTCCCAAAGCGTTACGCTAGGTCTTTGGATTACTAATGCAGTGACGTTACCTGCATGTCACCACTTGCACTACTTTGCCCCGTGAACTCCATTAGGTGCGCAAACAGTGTGCTAAGTCAATCTCAATAGTGAGAGTTCAAGGATGAATAAAATAATAGAGTGGAAGACTTCAGAACTTAAATATAATTCTGGAAAGCTTTGATAAAATAAACAAGAGGTTGTGATGGAATGAATCGTTACAGGCTGGAGAGGAGCACTGCCAAACAGACAGCAAGATATTTTCATTTATCCTGTGCAGGTGTGGTAAAAGTGTTGCAAACCCAAGCAGAATTGCTAAAGAATATAATTATTTGACAAAGGCAGATTAAATACTCTTTAATCCACTAATTTTAGTATAATAATAACGTTATTTAGAAAACCATGCAACTAAACAAAACCCAAAGAGAATGTATGGTGAGAAAACTGCAAGAGATTCAATATAATGATACCTTAACATGATCTTGGTGTGTAACATCCATATCGCCTTCAACAGGCTACTCTCAATTGATTCACAACACATCATACATCACAAAATAAGCACAGATCTAGGTATTGTTTTTAAAAATGGCACCACACATTTAAAGAAAGGCAGTTATTTCACTCCTTCATAAAGTTGTACTACATTGGAAAATTCACGATGAAATCTACGCACTTATCAAAAGCAATATCAATTTGAATGTTCTTCTGGATGAAAGCAAAATGTGAAAAAAATTTGCTCAAAATAAAAACACACAAAATAAGCTTGTTAGGAATGCATGTAATTTATTTGAAACAAACTGCTGAAATTTAACGAAATTCATGGTCATGAAATCAATAAAGCAAAAGCTGACTGCACAACACTGAATATACTAAATTAGTACCTCTCTTTTGACTTTTACTTGACAAAACTCAATTAAGATAGATGCAAACCTCAATCTGCAATTTGTAAACTGTATGGTCCACAACCCGCCTGCAATTTTGCAACACAGAAGTGCCAATATTAGCGAAGAAATTCTTATGGCATGCATATAAGATACCTGCAATTGGACTGTGAGAAACAAGCCAGAAATAATGTGACTTGCTTGAGAAAATCTTAATTAACAGCACACACGTGCCATCGCTTAGAAACACCATTGTGTTGCTTAATTGCATAAACCCGTAAGCTGCCATGTGTGAACAATTTGAGAGTTCAGATATTCCTTTGACTAATAGTGTTTTATTATATATTGCATTATTGCATGCAAGCAGAATTTAATTTCTTGGATGTTGAAGAATAAATTAATTGGCAAATGGAAATTAGTTGCAAAGATACAATAAATGCACATATTCAGCTTCAAAATTTCAAAAATGCAAATTAACTATAAAAATTGCATCTATAGCCAATTTAAAGAATATTCAGATTCAGGTTTTATTTTTATAAATAATTCACTTCATAGACTAAGATGTATTGCA